CCTAACATTACCTGTCTATCCATTTCGCTTCCACGCCGGAAATATTTCTTACTTTCCGAAATTTCTAACATTGTGGATTCTTGTCCTTTTTCTTCAGTTTAAATAGAATCGGCATTGAACTGGCAATTAATTCAATCTTAATTGCAAATTCAGTTCATTATTCATTTCTGGACTTATTAAGCACCAAATTTAAATCTTGGATCCATTTACTTTTAACGGTTTTTTTCAACTGCTTTGGTTAGGTTAGGTTAGGTTAGGTTATTTAATTACGGCAAAGCCTCGAGGGATATCTGCCTAAGAGGAGGGATGCCTTCGTGGAGGACTTTCTAAGGGAAACTGGCTCGTATACACGTTACACATGGGGAAAACCCGAAAACACCCATGCAGCCAGCCCGTTCGCGGGATTCGATCGTCGGACCGAACTACCAGTGTTCAGCGACTTTACCGCTCGGCCGCTACAACTGCTTTCGAGTTTAGAATTCTTAATTCCTATATATATTCTCGAACCGATTACAAAGTTGGTTTAGTTTATTTGATTACTGCAAAGCACTCGAGGGTTATCTGCCTAAGGAGATGAATGCCTTCGTGGAGTACTTTCCACCCGAATACGGGGTAAACTGACTCGTATACACTTACACATGGAAAAAACCACGAAAACGCCCATGCGGCAGCCCGTTAGCTGGGATTCAAACTCCGGACTGCTGAACTACCAGTGTTCATGGACTCTACATCTCGGGGGCTCCAATTACAAGGAATTCTGGAAAATAATCCGAAAGATTTTTGAGCTATCGCGAGTGATATTATAACGGCTGTACTATATCTATCTGCCTCCCCGCTTTTATTACCTATCAATTATTTTAGTACTTAGAATTGTTCTGAAATTTGCTGAAGTAAAAGCTTTTGATATTATTTGAGTCCTTCATTCAAAAGGTCATTCCCGAATATGAAAATGCAACGTTTTACTCTGACATTGAAATTTTCCTACATTTCTACGAACATGATTAAAATTTCATGCTTTTTCTGAAAATTAACAAAATGTATGTATTCTTATTTTGAAAGAAATATTCTAAATTTAGAATTTCTATAATACTGAAAAGTTGTGTATTCTAAATCAGTTTTATTTCTCTTCTTTACCACAATAAATTTACTCTTAGACCACAAGGTAAGAGTAATGAAGACGCCAGTCTTTTGTTACAGTACTGTATGAAACCGCGGATTCGGGAAATCCAAAGCCAATTGAGAGTGAGAAAGCATAATTATATATATATATATATTTTAATTTATAATTTTATAAAAAAAGGTTTTTTGCTTTATTCTCCTTCCGTTCCTTCCAAATATTTCGATCATTTGCGGTTTCCTGTTCCGATGTAGGTTTTTCCATAAATATGGCGGCTTCCTTTCCCATTTCTGCTTAGTATATTTATTTTAAAGTACCATTCATAGCAGCAAATTACATCGAATAAAAATGAAATACTCAGATACAACTAATTACTTCTCAAGTTATTGTGAATTAAATATCAAATTATCAAAGACAAATTCTTTGCGGATAAAAGCACGATCATTTGTTATAGTAATACAATTTTTAAATCAGTAACTAAAAATATTTTTTTAATGTTTTTTTAATCAAATTTAAAAAAAAAGGCTGAAAATATTTTGTAAAAATTTTAAGTGAAAAGAAAAAATATAATGCACCATTTTTTAAACTATAACAGAAGTTGACAATGTCTGCTTTTCTTATCATTGTGCATCAGAAATCCTTACACCAAATCTACACAGCTAAACCTGCTTTTTTGTCTAATTTAAATTTTTACATTGACATGTTTTCTTGGCATTTAGCTGAAATACATATTATCAAACTGGGAAGTAGTGGTCTTTCGTTTTCGATCATTTTTTCAGTTTTTCAATTTAGCTCTCGGATCATCAATTGACGAATAAGTGAAGGATGTCTGATTAAAGAAGAAAGTATGTTTGTTTGTCCTCTAATAACTCAGTTTCTACTACAGCTATCATCACCAAACTTTCTACGATTCTTTTCTGGGTCCTGGAAAGGTTGACGTCCACTTTTTTTCCAAAAAAAAAGTAGCTAAAATCAGAGATATTAATTAAAAACTTGAAAAAACGCTAATTTTCGCTCTCATTTTTCCCAGTGGCAACAGTCTCTCAAGCTGAAGATGAAAATCTGCTTTATTTCGAAAGTTGTTGCCACTGCTCGTTTTCAAATCGTAGAGTTTGTTAATAAAAAATTTCTAAGTTTTACGATGTTATAAGAAAAAGCATTGCCAAACATTAAATGCATTATTCCCAATTCCGAAAATCCTTAGAAAGCCATTTCAACTGCGTACGACTTTATTCAGCCGAGATATTAATTAAAAACTCCGGAAACATTAATTTTCGCACTCATTTTTCCGAATGGCAACAGTCTCGCGCGTTGGAGATAAAAATGCCTTATTTCGAAAACTGTTGTTACTGCTCGCTTTCAAATCGTAGAGTTTGTTAACCAAGAATTCGGAAGTTTGTGGAGTCATTAGGATTTTTGGAAGCAGGAGACTTGAAAAATGAGCAACCTCGCCGGGAATCGTACCACGGACCTCTGGAATACGCGCCTAGCGTGCAGACCACTGCACTAAGAAAGCGAGCTAAGAAGGCAGGAGAAATACCTTTTAAGTTTTACAAAATCTATATAGAATGTCTGTTGTGTGTTTGTTTGTTTGCATTATTGATTTCTGATTAATTATGATCGATTTTTTGCCACATTTAATCGACTGAAAATGAATATAAGTGAAATATTGGATGGAACTTGAGCTTTTACGACCATTTGATTAGAAAGACGAAAATCATTAAAAACTGTGCGCTATTGTTGCTGATATAATGAGAGAGAATTAGTTTATTTTTCTATCGAAATTTTTTATGTGAATTTCATATCGCATCAGACTGAAAAATGTATGGCTATGAATCGTATTTTTTTGCATCGTTATTAGAGAAGGATTCCAGTGGTATTGTTCTCTCTGTTATTATATGTATTACTCTCAATCTAATTTAACTGCCGTCGGGTACTTCCGCTATTTCATGATACAATCTCCATTCTCGCAGTAATGCTTCGACATTAGAGATATAAATAAATCTTGCACAGTTAATATTGGATACCTTGATTGGCTTACTTTTACGATTTCTGATTAATAGAAGGAGAATTTTCATTGTTTTTTAACACTTCAAAGAAGGTGTTATGGTTTTTGTAGGCAAATATCATCTCCTGGTGAAGCAGAAAATATTGTCATTTCACTGATGCGAGATGTTTTTTGTGAGCCTTGTGCAGAAGAGATCAAGCGAAAAACACGCACTGCTATGTCTTCAATAATTAAGTCTTGTCTTTATCACATAAGGGCAAAAGTTTTCATATGGGAGACATTTATCACGGAATAATACCACAGTAAATTGCCTTCCACATCAAACCATCAAACGGTAACATTTCATGCCGTAGCTGTTTAGGGAAGCTAATGTTTTAAATTTATAACTTCATGTCCTGCGTCTTGAAAATTCTGAATATTTAATTTTAAACTAAACATGTCGTTACTGTTCAAATTAAAACTATTTCAGGTGTCAAACTGGAATTTAAATACGAAAATCTGATTTCAGGATATTTTAAAAATAAATAACCCAAAGGGACAATATGCCTAGAAGGGCTATTAATTTCTTTTTAGCATTTTGCGTTGGTTATATATAAAACGGCGTGCCATGTTTCAAATTGTTGTCACCAAATATTACAGCCCGCATTATATTTGAAGGAATTCAAAAAATAATCTACATGAATGTATGTATGTTTCTCGCACTGTGAAAAAACAACGGTACCTAGAGACATCAAATTCTGAATAACGTAGTCCTCCACTCGAATTGGGTATCTGGAACCCTGCGTTTGGATTTTGTTTTATCATCGATTTCATATTTCGTAAAACTTTAAACGAATTTTTGATTAACAAACTCAACAATTTCAAAGCGAGCAATGGCAACACTACGGAAAAAAAAAAAAAAAAAAAAAAAAAAAAAAAAAAAAAAAAAAAAAAACATTTTATTTCCTGCGCACGAGACTGTGTATCGGAATTTCTAATGATGTGCGCTTTTAAATACTTTTCGATAATGCTGTTGAATTGAATTTTATGGTTTAAGTGTATTAAATTTATTTTATGTACATTCATGTAAAAAAATTTTTTTTAATAAAAATCTGAATGTGATATTTAATAAATAAAGGTAACACACAAAACATTAAAAAAAACGCCCCTTTGGACGTAATATAAATATAATCTGAAATATGTAATATAATCTGAAGGCGTAATATAATTTGAAAGCTTTCATATTTTTATTAAAAAAAAATTTTTTTTTTTACATGAATGTACATTTTTTTCTTGGCATTTTAAAGAAAGTTTTACCTAAAAAAGGTACTCCTCAACGGCGACAGAGGCGTTGTGCACTAAAGCATTACTCACGTTGCTCCGAGGAATCCAAAATTATCTCAGTTCGAATACTTTATAACGTATTTCTCCCGCCTACTTAGCATGCCTTCGTAGTGTAGTGGTCAGCACGCTGGGCACGTATTCCAGAGGTCCGTGGTTCGATTCCCGGCGAAGGCGTTGCTTATTTTTCATGACTCCTGCTACCAAAAAATACTCTACAACTTAAAGGAGACTATATTTTAAAACGTATTAAGAGTAGTGGAAAAAAATAGTTTCACGCATTTATAGACGTGCTTCATTAAAAAAAAAAAAAAAAAAAAAAAAAAAAAAAAATACGAGTACAGAATGTTAGATTTGTGTTTCTCATTGATTTAGTTTAAAATAAATTAAACTATTTTTTCCTGTTCTTAGTATTTTAATGAATATGTAAATGAAAAAAAAAATAGCCCATATTAATATATATCTATATATATTATGCAGAACTGGCTTCATTTTAAGATTTATTTATTTTGTACATTTTTCCAATAAAATAATCTCGGTATTTTATTTTTCTAGGAAAATCTTTTGAACTGTTATCTCCCCACTCTGGTCCCATCGGTTATGTGGTGTCGCCGTACCCTCACCCACACAATGGATCGCTGGGCCCAGTTTCCATGGTAAGTTTCTAAAATTCTCTTATCCTTTCAAAATGGCTCGGCTGCAGAATTACATTCGTAGTTCCGATGTAGACGAAAAAAAGGCTTCTTCTTTCTCTTGCTTGAATGGAAATAAGTTAGCCAAGGACGAAGAGTTTTAAGTTTTTCGTAAAGCCGAAAATAAGAGCAGATCCAACATTTAAGTCCTAAACCTTTTCACATAGAGCATGGTTCATTTCCAACGTACTTCATCCAGCAGAAGTGCGGTTGAAAAGGTACGATATCTTTAACTTCCAGTTAACAGCAAAGATACATTGCACAATTCCTAGTCTGCAATATTGTATGTCACGCATAGCCAAAACGTAGTTTGCAAGCCACATGTGGCTCTTTGGTTCAATAAGCATAGCTCATGTTATAAAAAAACATTTGCTAGTTTTACTTTTGAAATATAATTTTAGTTCAAATCAGGAATATTTTTTTCTGCGATCAATATTTTTATTTTAATTACTTATGGGCATAACAGTTTTAAGCAATTTCAAACCAGTCGTAACAAAAGGCTAATACTAACTACTAATCGGAACTAATCGAAACAAAAGGCAAACTAATCGAAACAAAAGGCAAACTAATCGAAACAAAAGGCAAATAATTCTGTTTTTTGTGATTTTCTAACGTCATGATGCTAGTTAAAAATAGATACGTTGTCTTGACTGTAGAAAAGGGGTTATCGAAACTGTAGAAAAGACAGATTGGAAACATGCTCTGCTGATGATTCATCTCAATCTTAATGAAAAGCAGGGTGAATGTGTGTAATCGTAATTTCATAATTTCATTAGATTAAAAAAAATTAGAAAATCAGACACATCTGACAATCAATTCTCTTTAAACGAATTACGTAACGAAATGTTTATCTATGTTTCTTATCATTTATTGCGGGGAAAGTTTGGATTATTATATTTATGCAAAATTTTGGTTGAGCTGAACGTTTATTTTAAAATAATAATTTTCTGCTATGCAAAAACGTTGGTTACCTGAAAGTTTATTTTAAAACAGTAATTTTCTCCAATTTCTCCGCAACTCTTATTTATTCCACCTTCTATAATTTTATCCAAAAAACCGCTAGTGCATATTTTCCAAATTTTTTACGTTATTCTTCATTTGAACGAAAGCTTCATAGATCAGCATGAAAGCAAAGTCTTTGTTCCTTACTTTTTCAATTTATTCATATTAGAATCAGTCAACAATTAGTCAATAAACAATCAGTCAATGAACAATCAGTCAATCAATCAGTCAATGAACAAGGCAAAATTTTGAAAACCAGAAGAAAATATTTGATCTGAACAAAGGGGGAAAAAAAGAGTGCTTATTGTATGTCAAAAAAGTTTTTAATTTTTACAATTAACCCAGATAATGTTGAGTTTCTTGAACGGAAAGATTAACAATATTTTTGGAAAAAAACAATGGCATTTAATAATCTCGTGATTAAAGCATGTAAAATTCTTATTAATTTACTTCAATGGCATTTTACTATTCAAGACGCACTTTACTGTTCCTTTAAAAATACGAAAGAATATTTTTGACCGCTAGAAAACTCTAGTTGAGGGTCTTGAATATTCTTAAATTCTATTATATGACTCCAACTGACGTAAAGTTTGGTCGCCCCGTTATAGGCCATTATTCACTCCCACTATTCGACTTTTCCTAAGTAAAAGGTAAATATAAGATTAAATTCAGGCAGTAGCTTTTCGAAATAAATAAGATAGAATTATGTCTTTTACAAAATCTAAGCATATCAAAACAATTGCTTTATATAACCCTCTCGGTCATGAGGAATAACACGGTTAAAATTTAATAACAGACTGCATAGAACAGCATGCCCCTTTCCTAAAAAATTTATCCTAACGATATGAAAGATTATTCCTTCTTAATTATTTCTCATAACGTGCCGAGTACTATTGCAAATCATTCTGAAATTGTATAAATATTTTCCAGTAATCCATGTTTGTAAAATAAATTAGTAAAATATTTTCTTGATGGCCCTTCATAAATATACCGGGCTTACACATAATCTAAGAACCTACTTTTATCATGTGAAATCAATGACAAGCAACAACATCCGGGGACGTTGTACCACTAATTGTTCGCACTAATAACTGTCGCAAATATGCATACAACGCAATTAACCCAGATAATGTTGAGGGGAGCGGAAAACAGAAATGTTATTCCTGGCACGTGAAAACAGACATGGTTTCACTCCGTAAAATAAAATGGCTTTCTGAGAAATCCTCCACAAGCGACCTTGCTATCTCGGAAGCCGCCGATAAAGGGCCATTTTGTACTTTGTATCGCAGGGCCGCTGGCTGAATGCGATAACGTCGAAATTAAAAGACAGTCTCTTATATGTTTGTGTCCTTTTTTTCTCGTACGCACGTGGTTGATAAAAAAGCGTTCTTTCCTCCGTAGACAATCATCATTCTTTTCCTGTTCCGAAATCCAGTTGCAACACGCGTTGTTTATAACGGCTAACTCGAAATCGTGCATGCTGCAGTTGTCAAAGTTAATGGCAAAAGTCAGCCTATGACGTTCATTTCTACTGAGATGGCTCAGTGCATTTTACGAGACAACGCAGGTGGATTTCCCTTCATCGGGAGCAAATAAATGACACGGAATTTGTTTCTCAAAAAGAGGACATTGCTCGTTTTCTTTCTTGTAATATACCAAGTGTTTTTAATTGAAACCAGCGCCAGCCAAAGATCACACGCTAGCTGTTTGATGAAATACTGCAAGATAACAATTATAAAATATCAAGTTCTCATCCATGTTGAGCTGAACTTCTAAAATTTTGAATAGCTTGAAACAAGGCAAACTGTGTTAGTAAACGACAACGGTTAAAATTTTCCCCTCGTTTAGATAGATGATCAGATAATTGATTGATTAGGGTGAAACCACGTGAGCTCTTTCGCTGTAATTAATTACCGCAGGAGAGACAGTGCTGTTTGCCATCTTACAAAGTTGTTTTTAGAGAATATCTGAAGAAGCGGCTTATTTATTTTAAACTTCATATTTTGGGAGCCAGGATATGCAGCCAATGTTCCCTCTAAGGTCATTGACTGATTTCTGTGAAACTGCACAGGTACTGGTGGCAAACTGAGTTTTATGAAGTTGCATAGCTGCTTTGAGCTCGTATTTTTTGGTTCACATAGCTGATTGCAGAACATCAACAGACAAAACAGTCATAATGATCGAAATAATGCTGCTACTATTTATTTCATTCCACAAAGTGTAACAAAGAAAGGAACAGTGAGGCAAAATTCCTTTTATTTTCAAATTAGCAGCTCTGAGTGCGATATCGCAATCATTGCTTCATTTATGAAACATTTAATATGCATTTTGTTGCATGCCATTGATCTCGGCTTGCATTAGAGTTAATTAAGACATTTCTCACCTACAGTGTTGAGATGCATCGACTAGCACATCAAGTGTAATCCAAAGATCCCATTTTCTACTGCACTCAAAGAAGTAGTTTATTTTCAGGAATTTCCCACTTACCTAAAAGCTCTTTACGTCTGGCGGCTGACTTTAATTGGTGGACGTTATTAGGCTGAGCTTGATCGATTGTGATTCGTCTAGTCTTCGTTTAGTCGTCTTAAATGGAGAGATGTTAGAAATTAAGACATTCCATCCATGTGCACTTGCAGTTTAACAATTATCACAAGTCGATTGGGTATTTCGGTACTCCATTCCGAGCGACGGCATAGTTTTATTTTCAAAGACTTTTCCCTCTCATTAAGCTAAATGCTGTCCAATGTAGTGTTCAGTTTTTAAAGCTGTTGAAAAAGAAAGACCATACAGTCACGTAGTCTGTTCGACATACGTTTCATCACCTATATGTAAAAATTTAAACTAAATAAAATTAATGAGGTGTGCCATTGATTAATTCTTTTAGCTCTTAGGTCTGACTAACTGCAAACTGACTACTATTGGCAATTTATTTTCAAACTGTCTTCACAACGGGAAGCATTTAGACATTTAACCAATTCGTGGAATTTTGTGACCATTGGGTGGGGGGGAGAAAATCGAGCATCTTCCCTTACCGCTCTGCTGTGGTGGAACTCTGCTGAATGGTGCTTTCGTGGAAGTCTTAAATCATATGTTATCCAAAGAAGAAGAAAAAATATCTCAGATTATGTGCTTTTCACCTGTAAGGATTATGTTAATTTTATTAACAGTTAAATTTTAAGTTCCTTTCCTGTCAAATTTTAAACTTCAACTTACTACTTCCGGCCAGAACGTAGTTTTGGAATTGTCTGAATATTTAATGAAAAGGAGCGGTATTTAAACCACGAAGTTGCTTACTGAGACAGAGAGAGATTCAGAGTTTCTGAACTACGCGCGTCTGCCTTTTTGGCCGCACTCTCTCTCAAAGCTGTTATACGCTCGGCCGTACTCAGGCCCTTGCTAAACTTCGTAGTAAAATAAGTTAAGGGGCCAACTCTCATTGAACCTTGATAGCTTTCGCTATATTTAGTTAGTTAATCTTAGTTTTAGTTTAATTTTTAGTCTTTTAAGTTCAAGTCCAAAGTGCGGACTTTATTTGTTCACTCCCAGGCGGAGTTTTGTTAAATCTTATAGAAATAATAAAGGGTTATTTACCCTTCTCTCTTGTTGTTTCCTGTCTTCGAACTCTAGCGATTATTCGCTTATCAGTTCCTAGGGTTACAGCCGAAAACATCGCGGAGAAAACATCGCAACGAAAAAAACATCGCAGTTCTAAAACATCGTGGTACAAAACATCGTCGTCGAAAATAAAGCCGTTCAAAAACTTCGCAGTTTAAAAACATCGTCGTCGAAAATATCGTGATAAAAAATAAAGTATCTACAAATCATCGCATGACGATAACATCGCAGACATGCTTCTTTCAGGCTTTAATAACTGTAAATGGATATTCCCATATTGATTTGTGAGCGCAAGATGGAAAGAAGGATAATTTTTACTTTCATACTTTTTATTAACTAATAAATTTTTGCTGAGAAAA